GTTCTGCTCGTTTATTAAACAGTACTTATAAAAGCTATAAAACCATTGATAGGATTTAGTCATTACCCTGAATAAATAAAATTGTATCTATCATCTATTAAATTCTGGTAATTTAATTGGCTGATTATGATCACGTGATATGCAATACAAATTACCATTTTCCTGAGCGTGTAATGCCCCGCGTCCATTTGCATGCACGCTCGGGCGGCTGTAGCTACAGTTTAGTAGTATACGTTTTGTTCCATTGCACGATTTAGTTTTCATTAAATTCCATCCGTCAAATTATTAATCGTATCCTAATCGTACAATCAGTGACAAAACACTTTGGACAAAATAGCAAAAGAGCGTACGTTTACAACCCCCCGCGCGCCCCCAGTTCAATGTTGTGTGGGAAAGAACATGCGCAAAATGTTTCTTGCCAACCACCCAAAATAGTGTTATTATGCTGCATGGATAGTAATTTGGAAATGCGCAGATATATATAATATTATAGAACTGTCCAAAAACCTTTTGTCAGTGATTGTAGCTCATGTAGCCCAAATCCTCATAATGATTTGGATGGATTTAAATTTAAATGCAAAATTGCGGGTGTGAAATTATTTCACGACAATGCTGAATTAAATTAATGTTATTATTACATTAACTCTTCACTCAAACATTTCTTGGGACATATTTGTTGGATTTTCTATTCATTTTATAAATTATTCTAATTCAATAAAAATGGATGTATTGCATATTGATAGGCCTAATTATTTTTGTTTTATATAAAACTCAGAAAATTCCATCTTTCAACTTATGAAAATGTTTTACCATTGCACTCATAAATATGCATTATTTGTATATTATATAATACTTTATTGAATTCTGATCGTTTAATTGGCTGTTTATGGTCACGTGATATTGAATAGATTAATAGAAAATTCCATTGCGAGTGCAATTGTAGTATACGTTTTATTCCATTGCACTCTCTGTGTTTTCGATAAATCGCATCCGTCAAAATGCTTCTCGTACGGTGATCGCAGTTTCTTTTAACTCGTATATTAATGGGATTAAATGATCAGTAAATGGGATATAATGCAAATGCGACTCGTCAAAATAGCGGGAGCTCAACCTCGTTCCCAGGGCTTTTCCTTTTTGTCATTGGGAAGGCGGAAAAAGCACTGGTAGCCATCGCTTGCTTATTAAGCGTCCTAACATTCTAACTGTACCGCTCTCTGAGCGGCTTTTCTTTGGTCATTAATATTGTTTTCAGTTTGCCACTCCGTTCCAGTAAAGGAGCATGCGTGCAGTCGGCACACTTACATCGTAATTAGTATAGGTATCACGCGATGGCATGGCAACATCGATCGTATGATTACTTGTTTATATTAGCATAACAAAACTGGATAATTCTCAATGTCAACATCATTTATATATTCTTTCGCCAAAGCCCAGCTGTCCTGCCAGATTTCAACCAAAATTTGGTGCTTTTGTTCGCATTTTCATTTAGTTCTTTTGTACTGCAGTACAATTTATCACTTGAGATTAGAAACACGTCTTCGGTAGCATTATTCAAATATAAAAAAAAATATGTATATAATAATAAATATATACATGTAAATATAAAATAAATACTTTTTAGAAACAATTTAAACTTAGTCATATGTAATCTATTGTATATATATGGAATTTATGAAATATACACTCGAGAACATTTTCATATATCTTATCATATCACGGAGTGAACAATAACACAACATAACATATATATATATATACATATATATATATATATATATATATATATATATATATATATATATATATATATATATATATATATATATATATATATATATATATATATATATATATATATATATATATATGAAATCTCGGTCTGCCAATTCAACGGCAAGTCCAGGGCATGCTCCGGACAGTGCCAAAGATATGGCGTGGAATGATGTTGTTAGGTCAAACGGTAAGAATAATGACGAGACAAGTAATCCCAAGAGCAAAACAGATAAAGCAAAATCGGCGAACGGTAAGGTTAGTTCAAGTTCAATTAATGTTGATAACCAAGTTCAAGCTGAACAGAAACCGTGGAATGTAATTCTTGGTGATTCTATGATAAAAAATATAGAAGGATGGAAACTGTCTAAAGAGAAAAAAGTGACATCTAGATCATTTCCAGGTTCAACTATCGACGATATGTCAGACTTTAGTAAGCCTTTTCTTAGACAAAAGCCTGAAAATCTTATTTTACATATAGGTACTAATGATATGAGTGGTGAATCAAGTGATAATGTTGCTACCAAAATTGTTCGCTTGTCCAAAAATAAGCAATCTCCAACTACTAAATTAGCAATATCAGGGATCATATTTCGAACTGACAATGAGAACTTAAATGCTAATATAAAGCAGATTAACGAATTACTCAAGTCAGCCTGCAGAAATAATGGATGGAAATGCACTAGTATCAAATCATAATGTTAGAAAGGACTCGTTAAATCGCAGCGGACTACATCTTAATCGTAAAGGTGTAGCTTTGTTAGCAAGTAATTTTAAATTAGCTCTTATAATAGTTTTTGACGAGTGCATAGACAGCAGAGAGTTTGATCAAAGTGCTAACCTAATTCCCTTGCAAAATACTTTGAGCCAAATTCGTGGCTTCAAAATGGGTTCATTAAATATTGCAAGTTTGACTAAACATTTGGATGAATTAAAATTTCTGATGGCCATTGAACCATTAGATATTTTGGCAATTAATGAGTCGCGGCTTGATATGTCAATTTCTGACTTTCATATAAATATAAATGGTTATAACTTAATACGCCGAGATCGAAATCGCAATGGTGGCGGTGTTTGTGTTTTTATTCGTAAATCAATAGAATTCAAACATCGCACAGATTTAGAAAAGCTCAAACTTGAAATGATAGCATTGAATATTAAAAAGCCAAACTCTAAGGCCTTTCTCGTTACCGCGTGGTATCGACCTCCTAATTCTGCAATTGAATGTTTTGACATTTTTGAAGATTTCCTCACATGTGTTGACAATGAATTTGATGATATTTATGTAATGGGGGATTTAAATTGTAATTTTCATAACAAACAACCTGAATGTCATACTACCCGCCTCGAAAATATTTTACAAACATTTCAATTGTCTCAATTAATTGATGAGCCTACGCGAATTACTAACGAAACATCATCCTTAATTGATTTATTTCTAACAAACAACACAGATAGTATTGTTCATTCAGGCGTCTATCCTTTGTCTATTAGTGATCATTATTTAATTTATTCAGCTCGGAAGGTAGGTATCCCAAGAAGTAGACCTAAGGTTATTTTGACGCGTAATTATAAAAAATTTGATGAGTTTAAATTTAAAAATGATCTGTCTGATGCCGATTGGCCTGATATTGACAAGTTCAATGATGTGGATCAAGCATGGTGCACTTGGAATGAATTATTTATTTCTATTATTGATAAACATGCACCTAAAAGAATTATTAGGACCCGCAATAAGCCAGCGCCCTGGATAGATGCAACTGCCAAAAAGTTGATGTATGAAAGAGATATGTTCAAAAAGCGTGTTGCTAGGTCTAATAGTCAAGTTGATTGGATGAATTATAAGACAGCTCGTAACAGAACTAACTATGAATTAAGGAAAATAAAGCGCCAGTATTATCAAACAAAGTTAAGCGAAAGCTCTGGGGATTCCAAACATACTTGGGCTGTTCTGAATAGTCTAGTTGGTAAACCTTCAAAGAATACAGAAATAAACGAAATTAAGGTTTCCCCGAATGAGATTATTACCAGTGGTGAAGATATAGCTAATCATTTGAATCAACATTTCTCTGAAATTGGCGTCAAGCTTTCGTCTGTAGGAACACAAAATTACAACGTTCGTCCTGAAATGTTTCTAAAACAATCGGAAGAAACATTCAGAATACATGATGTAGACTCAGACAAAGTTTTGAAATTACTAAAGAATTTAAAAACTACAAAAGCATGTGGTTTAGACAATATCCCGAATAGATTATTGAAGGTCGCCGCGCCGTTTATTTACTTGCACCTTGCTAGTCTTTTTAATTTATCAATTAAGGTAGGCATTTTCCCAGCTGAATTGAAAAAGGCCAAGATTTCTCCAATTTTTAAGAGTGGTGAACGAGATATTTCTGACAATTATAGACCTATATCTGTCCTAACTAGTATTGCTACAGTGTTTGAAAGACTTATTTATGACCAGCTGTATGCATACCTTATACATAATAACTTAATTGATTCTCGGCAATCGGGATTTAGATCGCTTCACTCAACAATGACTGCACTATTAGATATGAATAATGACTGGTGCTTTAACATTGACAGAGGGATGTTAAACGGTGTCGTCTTCTTAGACTTAAAGAAAGCTTTTGACACCGTTGATCATCTTATTCTTGTGACCAAATTAGAATATTTAGGATTGGAAAAAATAGCGGTTGATTGGTTTCGATCCTATCTGACTGACAGGTACCAAAGATGTTTTGTCAATGGGTGTTTGTCAGATGAGATTAAAATTACTTGTGGTGTTCCCCAAGGCTCTGTACTTGGACCTCTACTCTTTCTCATATACATCAATGATTTGGCATCTTGCTTTGATCACGGCACTGCACGAATGTATGCTGATGATACAAATTTGTCATTTTCTGCATGTTTTCCTGTTGAACTTCAGCGTCAAATGGAACGTGATTTAAGAAAACTTGAATTATGGCTTAAAGCTAATAAATTAACTCTAAACGCCTTAAAAACTGAATATATGATTATAGGAACTCGGCAAAAGATTGCTTCATTGATCGACGATGTTGCACTTTCTATTGGAGGTATTTCACTTTGTAAAGTAAGACATGTAAAATGCTTAGGAGTTACAATTGATGAAAATTTGACGTGGAAAAAACATGTTGACAATGTTATTAAAAAGGTCTCAATTGGCATGGGTTTATTACGTAGAACTAGGAATTTTTTGACAGAAAAACAACTCATTACTATATATCATTCAATCATTGAACCACACTTTGATTACTGTTGCATTGTTTGGGACTCTATGAGTGATACACTGGCAAATAAAATACAAAAATTACAAAACCGGGCTGTTCGTATTATTAGCCGGGCCGATTATTCTGTTAGGTCTGCTGCCCTGCTTGAAAAATATGGGTTGCCGACTCTAGATGAGAGAAGAAAACGGTTTAAAATGTCCATGTTGTTTAAAATCTTGAACAACGATGCTCCAACTTATTTGAAAGAGTTATTTAACTATAACGACGGAGCTCAATCCTTTGGGCTACGTAATGCGAATTTAAATCTGTCACTGCCATCAGTCAAAACAGAATTGTATCAACAAAGCTTTGCTTTTTCTGGCGCCAAGCTTTGGAACACCTTGCCAAATGATCTCAAAACAGAAACATCTTTAAAAAATTTTAAAGATAAATTGGCTACACATCAACTCTCTGTTCTCTAATACTGATATATATTTCATATAATTAAATTGCATGCACGGCTTACGGGAAGAACAAGGATGTAAATATGTAAATATGTTTTCTTTTTGATGTAATTACCGTGTTGAAATAAATTTTTTAATAATAATAATAATAATAATACATATATATAAATACATATATATATATATATATATATATATATATATATATACATATATACTTCAGAAAACCACAACAGTCTGTTTCATACGTATAGGATGATGATTCCTATATATATATATATATATATATATATATATATATATATATATATATATATATATATATATATATATATATATATATATAGATATATATATAGATATATATATAGATATATATATAGATATATAGATAGATATATATTATATATAGATATATAGATAGATATATATATATATATATATATATATATATATAGATATATAGATAGATATATAGATAGATATATAGATAGATATATAGATAGATATATAGATAGATATATAGATAGATAGATAGATAGATAGATAGATAGATAGATAGATAGATAGATAGATAGATAGATAGATAGATAGATAGATAGATAGATATAGAGATAGATATAGAGATAGAGATATAGAGAGAGAGAGATATAGAGAGAGAGAGATATAGAGAGAGAGAGAGAGATATAGAGAGAGAGATATAGAGAGAGAGATATAGAGAGAGATATAGAGAGAGATATAGAGAGAGAGAGATATAGATAGAGAGATATAGATAGAGAGATATAGATAGAGAGATATAGATAGATATAGATAGATATAGATGGATAGATAGATATAGATAGATATAGATATAGATAGATATAGATATAATAATAATAATAATAATAATATGTATTTCTATAGCGCCATTTCCTATAGCTCAATGGCGCTTTACAGTATTTAGAAATTTAAAATTTTAATATATTTACATCAATCCATTTAAAAATTTAAGTTTATTTACAATTATTATATAAAAGTCAATATAAGAAGTGAATAAGATAAAAATTCAGATAGATAGATACAACTAGCAATAGTTAAAATTGGTAAAACTAGTGTCAATTACTTATAAAA